TCATAACAGTGATCAGACTTCCCGTCTTCTTCACATAAAGATAGTACACTTGAAAAACGATCTAGAAATAAGTAAAAATGTCTTAAATTCAGTGTATTTACCCTTGATTTGAGTAGGTAAATGAGATAGTTTGCCAATGGAATCAGTATTTTTACTCTTAAAATAAGATAATTAGATAATAGTCACTTTAAATTAGACAATGCAATCCTGTTTTCTTATTTTAAGTGTAAATTATCTTGTTTCATTGGCAAAATGTGTCTTTTATCTCCTCAATTCAAGAAGAAATGTACTTATTTTAAGAAAAAATGACTTATCAAGATTTTGATTTTTTGCAGTGTAACAAATCTGGTTTTCTATCATCTAAAGAACATCTCCAGGATTAAAGCTGTCGGGTTCATAAAATGTATGTTTTTGCAATAGAAGAACTGAAATACACAATTATGGATACAATTTCTGCAGAAAGGAGAGACAGTTGAACCCCAGACTCAAACACACTGTCTCCCACTGGACCTCCCCCGCAGAGCATTTTATTAACAGAACATGATACATGGTTACAAACAGAGTATTGTTCTGACAAAACAATTGATCAGTTCATAAAGACAGGATGCTCCATCAGAATGACAAGGAAGGATGGTGTCCTGACTGAATCATTAGACAGGAGTGGAGCATCCCCTCGCACAAATGTTTCATAAGCACACATTCATTTTATAATCATCATTGAATAAACTTAACAAAAGTCTCAGCAGGATCCAATCTAATTGATGTGTTTATCTTTATTGGGATTGATCACTGAAGGAACGTGTTCACAACTCAAACTGAAAAGTCGTTCAGACAGCTCTAGTTGATCCAAAATGCTGCTACCTGTATCCTCACTATAACTACAGTAACATGTTTAGAAAGTTGAGCTCATCAAGCCAGTTCTAAAGTCCTTCCTTTTGCTCTCCATATCACAATATATAGACTTCTGAGAGTTTATATAAAACACTGAATTGCTTAGCTCCAACAAACATTACAGACTTTTTACTTTTTATCCAGATATCAACTCCCCAGACCTCTCCAGCTCTTTAGGCTCAAATCTAATCTGCATACCAAAACCAAATATGGAGAAGAAGCTTTGCACTGGAAAAACAATCTACAAATAAGTAAAAATGTCTTAAATTACGTGTATTTAACCTTAATTTGAGTAGGTAAATGAGATAGTTTGCCAATGGAATGAATATTCTTACTCTACAAATAAGATAATTAGATAATATGCACTTGGACTAAGACAATGCAATTGTGTTTTCTTATTTTAGGTGTAAATTATCTTGTTCCATTGGCAAAATGTCTCTTACCTCCACAATCCTAGAAAAAGTCACTTATTTTAAGAAAAAATGACTTGTCTAGATTTAGATTTTTTCCAGTGTGAGTTCCAAAAAATCCACTAATCTAGAATAAAATCCCAGAAAACTGTAAAAATGCTGAATCCCTCAGTTGCTTTACATCCAGATAAAAAACTTCTGTCAATAATTTGATCTGTTTTTAATATAATTATCTTATTTAATTGATTCATTTTTATTACCGCCAATCATTTGTGTTGCGTTTAAACCACTGCAATATACTTTCCCTTTTCTGCTTATGTACAGCACATTGAATTATCATGTGGCTTAAATCTGCTATATAAAGAAACTATGCTGATGAAGGTTCTCAGTCATCCAGGTCATAGTCATTCCGTAAAAATTCAAAAAATATCCACTGGACTTGGTTTCCAAGATTTGAAGACGTTTCGCCACCTCTCCAGGAAGCTTTCTCAATTCAAAAATGTCTGTATCCGCAGTGAGTTTGAGTCTTAGGCCCCGTCCACACAAAGCCGAACCCTGGCCTAAACGCACAAATTTTTCACCAAACCAGCCTCTCATCCACACGAAGCCGGCGTTTCGGGGGTCTGTAAACGATCTTTTTTTTATTCAGCCTTCAGAGTGGGAAGATTCTGAAACGCCGTTTTCGCGTTTCCATTTTTAAGCTCTAACCGCATTTTTTTTTTTACACGCATGCGTCACAGCGTCGCCTCTAAACACGCATGTGCGACACAGTATCACAACAACAATGGCGCCTTACTGTGTTGAATGGTTGCTGCTCATGCTACTCACCCTGCTGTCGGGCTTATAACAGAATCTTCTTCTTCTGGAATATCTCCAGGAAGAACAGAGCAATATCGACGACATAGTTCAGCACCTGAATTTGACTGAACCACGAAAATGGACCCGCAGGGCAACCATGTATAAATATTAGTGCGCATGCCCAACATTTCGTCGCTTATTTTTGCTTTGGCACCACAGCGCCACTTACAGGCCTGGCATACATTTTGCAGCGTTTTCATGCATTCATGTGGACGATCACATTTATTTTACGTCTCCGTCTTTACGACAAACGTTTTGGAAAATATCAGCGTTTCGTGTTCGTTTTGACTTCGTGTGGACGGGGCCTTATATAGACAAAGCCTTGTATCGCTTGGAAACATGCAAATGGTAACCGATGAATGGGTCGTTTGGTCCAATCGTTAGCCTGTAATATCTGAAACCTGTCTATGATTGTTAAGGGTTGGTCGTTAAGGAGGTATTGTTCACCGGCTGGAGCGGGTAGGTGCTTTGTTCCCCTGTGATGGGGTTGGGTGATATCTGGAAGGGATCATGTCTATGATTGAATTGTATGCTTTTGGATATAAAGAAACTTGTTTTGTCTTAAAGGCAATTATTACTCCAGACCTGCTAAAAACCCTCCATTTACAACCACTTACTGGTCAGGGTCACAGAGGGCCGGTGATCTCCAGGAGCTTATGGCTGAAAGGCGGCAGAAACCCTTAACAGGAGAGGTGAAAAATGAATTGTTTAATGTTCTACTCTCTCAGTACTTAAGGTGAATACATTATTCTTATTTTAAGTGTAAATTGTAAAAAAAAATGACTTTTCTAGATTTTGATTTTTTCCAGTGCTGTGACCTCTAATTAGGATAAATTTGCTTGATTTTCTAAATCTATGACATTTGTGAAAGTTGTGGGGTTTCCAGCCTGAGAAAATAGTTTATCTCTTTTGTTAGCTAAGTAGTTGTGGCAGGAGCTCAGAACATAGGATTCCAGAATTCAAGAACTCAGCTCCAATAATCTGGCACCGATGGCTGGAAACCGGTGGCTTAAATATAAATCAGGAACACACGGATCAGATGAGTGACAATGAGCATTGGGCGGAGCTAAGCAGTTAGGGGGAAAAAAGCACATCCAGCCATCAGTGCCAAGACCATGACAGTTGACCCCCTGATGCCTATTGTTGCAAATATGGCACCAACAATTTGTATTACACAAACAGCCAAGATATGGAATCAATTGAATTCAAATTATTTTGATTTGATTTCAAAAAATGAACACCTTCACATAGAGGTTGAGCAAGGATCGTGTGCAAAATAGGTCTCCTTAAGAAGTTATCCAAAGCTTGTGGACAGGAGTCTGTTTACAAAATGACAATAAATAAAAGAAGATTTAGAAAATGGGGTGAAAACTTCCCCCAATGCTAGTTACGGCACACTGAGTACGGACCTTTGGTGAGGATTTATTTCTGGTGAGACTGGTCCATGATAATGTATAAATCTACCTAAATTTCTGTTTTTCTGGCAACTTCTTAAATGCAAAATGTTATATATATTTAAATCAATGAGACTCAATGTGTAAAATGATGCGACACATTTTATTGAAAAGTTTTTTTCATTGTTATAAAGCAAAGTGAAAAAAGAACAAAACAAATGAGACAATTTAAAAAGATAAACACTCAGTCGTTGGACTAAATATCCAGTCTCCGTCTAAATAAAAAAAAGTTATGCAAAAAGTTGACATAAATAGAAATAACAGCAAAATGATCAAATTTATGTTTTATGCCTACAGGTCCTGATATACTGGATGATGCTACAATGCCCTTCTGATGGTGGAGAACAAGGTTTTCCCTGTTAAAGCATCGGTTCTGGTCCAGATCAGAGACCATGACTTACTTCATTGATACGAACCTTAGACTCTACAAAAGGACTGAGTCATTTACTACTATAACTGTTGACCCAAACGGTGTTCTGTTGGCTGGCCAATATAGAGATGGTTAAGCGGGGCTCAACACTCAAACTGGCTTAGTAAGTATAAAAGTGAAATCCAGCAAGAAGTATGAAGACTGAGCCAGAGAATTCAGAGGATCTGATTGGATCCCTGTCAGAGGAAATGATGAATCTGCTGTTCAGTCTTGTAGAACGCCTCAGACAGGCTGGCCCACAGCATGGCTCGTGGATAATTCTGTATTGCTACGTTCACACCGGATGCAGCAGGCGCAGCAGAAGCAGCGAGTTTACATGCAAAATCAATGGTTGACGCGCGTCAAAGCGCAGCAAAAGGTCCCGCAGCGCGTTTTGAGCAGCAGGCGCAAACGCGCTGCTGCTCGAGATGGAAAATTTTAACTTTTGCTGCTCGACGCGCCGCATCAACCAATCAGAGACGCTGATCTGGGAGCTGGCAGGGAGACAGACACATTGCTGATGACACAGAGCGCTGTGATCGCTTCTCTGAAACAGTTTATTAACGTCTAAATTAACTTAAAATGCTGAAACCTGCCGACAGAATATGTTCACTTTTATTATCCTGCTGCCTGCAGTTTGGATTATTTAGATGAAAAACACCTACCAGCCGCCGCGGTGAACCGCGAGGAGGCGACCCGGCCAGAGGCTGCTATTGAATGGGATTCCTACTGACAGCGCACCGCTGGTATGTGGGGGTCTGAGCAGCTCCGACAGAAATAATATTGGAAGGTGGGATGGTAATCTGGATGAACTGACTGCACTGATTAAGTTTTCAGGTGGATTTTCTCACTTAAAAACATATTAAAACGACTTTATTCCCACTGATCACAGCAAATATAGCTGCAAGGCAAAGAAAGGATAGGGTAGCTCCGCCCAACGCGCGTGAGACACACTGCAGCCAGAGCAGCAAAGCTGCTTCAGCCGCGCGTCAGAACTAAACTGGTACAAGCAACAAAAATGAAACAGCAGATGCGATTTTGCTGCTCCTGCTGCGTCCGGTGTGAACGTAGTGTGACAGGTCTGTTGTTGCAGCAGAGGCAGCAAAGACTCACAGTCTCTTTGCCTCCTGCCAGCATGTAGCTAGTGTGTGAAAAGTGAATGAAAATGAGCGGCACAGAGGTTTAGAGACAAGGCACGGATCTAGTTCTTCCCAGCCGGTACCCTGTCTGAATCTGATGAATAAAATCACCTGTAGGAGGCCAGCAGCCTCATTGCACAAGAAGCCAGCAGAGCCTGGGGATTGGAAACTTTGACTCATTTCCTTCTACTTCTATAGGAACACTAACTGCAATAATGCAAGGTTGTCCTTCTTTTCATGAACTTTAAGTGCAGATTTCTGTTAAACATTCAAGACATGTAAAAAAAAAAAAATAGTTACTGCGCAGCTTCACTCTCTTGCAGAGTCCTTGACCATAAGAGTCTGAATGTCGTAAAACCCAAACTGAGCAATTCATGAAGCACTTTAGGTTTCAAAACATATAAAGAGTACCTCAGAGACATATTAAATTAAAAGTTAGCACAGCAGGCCAACTTCACTTTCTCCCAGGGATGTGACTTCTTTTTTACAACTGTGAAAACATTTATAACATAAGCACCGTTAAGAAAAGTATTTTCTACAAAAATGAGGCCATTTTGAATCTCAACCCTCAGCTCTCGTTATTGAAGCAGGAGGATTTGAGCAGAGATGATTCTATGTAGCTCAAATTCAGCAAGCTGACCTGTTTAAAAAAATCACTTATGAAAATACAACACATTTATATATAAAATAATTATAATAAAAAAGGGTTAGATTAAAAATATATTTCTTGGTACAGGAAAGGGAAAGTTAAGGCATTGGTAATGTGAGGGGGTGCTACTAAAAGGAATCTTAATGAGACCAAATCATTTCTTCTTCAGTTTTAAAAAAACCCTTTTCCCTCCTAAAGAAACAGTTCTCTTTGTTTAAAGAGGCGTTGGGTTTCACGTCATCAGGTTTGATAAGAAAAGAGGAATGTTTGCTGCTTGTTACGGCCAGATGTGAGGAGAACGTCAGAGCTAAGAGTTCAGCCGCAGCTTTTTTAACCGTCTTCACCTCGGCGATATGCGAGGACTTCTGGATGATGCAGCTGGTTGTTCCAGAGACGCAGTCCTTCCCCTGGGCCAAGTTGGTCAAGGCCACGGCGGCGTTGATCTCCTTCCACTGCGTCTCATCTTTGGCCTTCACCTTCTCCTCCTGCGAAGCTGCGACGCCACCGTTGCCGCTGACGACCGTAAACAAGCAGAGAAAGAAGAGAAACAGGGAGCGTTACAGCTCATGTTCAGCTTGTGATTGGACACAGTTTATCTGCTAATAGAAGGTCTACTCACTGGTCACGTTTCCTGGATCCAAGCTCTGTGGTTTCTGAAAGACGAGACAGAAGAAGGTCAGTACGCAGAGTTCTCAGGGTCAGAGCAGATCTACTGCAACCTGCTTGTTCAGCAGATGCTGTGTGTCTGTTTCGGTGGTTTTGGACGTCTGCTCTGTCCTCTCAGTGGACAACATGTCCTCAGCAAACATCACTGCAGAAAATTTTAATCTTAATAAGTCAATTTGTCTTAAAATAAGTGCATTTTTTCTTGTATTGAAGAGGTAAGTGAGACACTTTGCCAATGGAACAAGACAATTGACATTTAAAATAAGAAAAAACAATTGCATTTTCTTATTTTTATCTAATTATCTTATTTTAAGTGTAAAAATACTCATTCCATTGGCAAATCCTCTTACTTACCTTCTCAAATTAAGGGTAAATACACTTAATTTAAGAAATCTTTACTTATTTCTAGATTGTTTTTGCAGTGGAGCTGCTCTGTTTTCTCCTTTTACTCAAGTGGCTGAACAGAAAAAGGACGTTTAGCAAGAAGCCTTCATGCATATGGGTGACTAAAAATGCTCATCAAGGTCCATGTTGTTGATTGATGTGTTTAAGGAGTAAAATTGTTGGAGTTGTTAGATTTGATGCATTTAATGACCAGAAAATAAGTTAATCCAGTTTCATAGGATTTAATCTGTGTATCAAATATCTGACCCAAGATCCAGGAATAAATGTCTGCTTCTCATCTCTGGATCATTCATTGGTGCATTTCTATCAGCTGCTGATTTAAACGCCCCTTTATTTGAACAACTGTCCCAATAAAACAAGGCGCTCTCACACCTTCACTCCTAATACAAACATTTTCATCTCTATAAAAAGGTCCAACATTATGAGAAAGATCCAGAACCTGAAAGGTCAGACACGAAGCAGCTCTGATTTAACTCTGTTCCTGCTTTAAATGCCTCCACATTTTCTCCAAATTTCTGGATCCACTGATCTATTCTCTGCAGTTCCATTATTCCCATCTCCTTGCTCTTCTTCTGTCTGCTTCCCATGCAGCCTGACCAATGATGACAGCAGGAGGTTTGATGCTTCGGGCTAAGATGGGCCTGATCAGGAAATCTCCTGTAGTTTTCTGGTTCCTTCTTGGATTCTTCCACAGAGAGCAGCCTGACCTCACTCACCACAGTTGTCTCCATAGAAGAACAGGAGGAATGTGTGAGAGGGAGATGAGGACGTGATAATCCAGAGTTACAAACCTCTGAGTTTAGTTCAGGTTGGACTTCATCACAGACGTCCAATATTATCCTCACAATCCTGTCTGTCTTCCTGTCTGTCTGTGTTTTCCATCCTGGTCAAGCTTGAGGTGAACTAAACACTTACATTAGGGAGGAAAGAACAGCAACCAGGAGAAAACCTTCTTCTCATCTGTAGCTGTTTCCATGTAAACTAAAGCTGCCTTTCTGGGGTATGGAGGCCATATTAGATTTTAAATTTTAGATATTTGAGCAGCAGTTAGTGCATCATGATGCTGCAGTTGTTCACAGTTTGAGCTGAGATGCCCTCTCACACTATTACTAGATTTCTGTGTGTGTTCTGTGTCCAGCCTGGGTCACCCCTCTACTCTCTGATTAAAGGTCTCCTCTCTCCTCCATCCTGTGGGAACATAGAGGCTGCCCGTTGTTCTACAGCCGGCTAGGCTTTTCTCTTGGAAACAGTTTGTGTTTTCCACAGAGCCGGACAGCGTGGCTCGGTTTCCCTGAGTTTAAACCCATGAGGCATTTTCTTCCTCTCTCCTCGGGTTCTATGTTGGGGAGCTGCTTGTGTCTAAACTGGGTCTGTGTTGATGTTTGGGAAATTTTCTCTACAGCATCACAGACAGAACCAACACTTTCTCAGTCTGCTGCTGTCCTCAGTTTGCCTCCCTGAAATAGAGAGTTTGCAGAGCAAACAGGAAATGACTCCAACAATATGGCTGCCATTTAAACCAATAGAGGGAAACAAAAGAATTATTTTTATCATGGATTTAAGCAAAATATGCTGATTTTTCCCAGTAAATTGGCCTTAAAATTTGTAACTAAAGGCAAAGTTGTAAGATTTATAAAATTAAATCTCTGTTTGAAAAACATCATGGAAGCAGGGCAGCAATATGCCTTAAATAGAAAATGCTGAACAAAAAAAATGGAAAACGAATGGAGTGAAGGAAGCAATCAGAGGAAGATATCAGCTGAAGAAAAAACAGGATCCTTCAGACATAATGAAGAGCTGAGCTGAAGGAAACAAGTTGGCAGCAGTCACTGACACTAGATGACTGGATGACGATCAACCTCCATATTGCATCCACTCTGCGTCCAATGGATGGATAATCAGAAAGAGACAGCAGGAGAGACATTAAAGGTCATGCAGAGGGACAGGCAGCTGGAAATAATGGACTAACTGCAGGAATGAAAACAAACCAACAGAAAGAAGAGGAGACAGAGATCAGATATGAAGGATGAGGAGTTTGTTGGACACCCTTGGAGGTAAATCAAGATGTCAGGAATGCGTCTCCTTACCGGCTCCATAAACCAAGTTGGCCTCGGCTTCAGAGGAGGATGGCGACAGCAGCTCGTCGTCATACTCGTTGGAGCTGAAGGAACCAGAGTGGTTCCTCTTGCGAGCATCCATGACGGCATTCGCGACCATCACATGCCGCAGAGAGTCGTTCAGGTAGCGGTGCAGCAGGCTGCTCTTGTACTTGGGTGGAGACACATAGTCCTCAGCCAGAGAGGCGGCATCCACTGCAGAACGCAGCCCTGGGTCCATCCCTATGGCCACGCCCACCATGGAGGAGCCCTCCTTCTTGATAACACTCTGGTACAAGGGTTTGGGGAGAAATTCAGGACCATTCTGTGTCCTCTGAGGGTTGTCTCCATCTGCAACGTCAGGACAGGAAGACGTGATGGCTGTTAGGATTATGAACAGAAAGTCTTCTCCAAAGCCACAATAATCTACTAAAGACTTGATAACAAACTTCTCTTGCTAGGTTGCAACAGCAAAAGATCCTTTCTATTGCAGCCCTGGTTCTGAATCCTAAACAGTAACGGTCCAAAATGTATGACAAGTAACCCTAAATGACAGTCCGATTGGAAGCAGCTGCTTACTGTCGTACCTGTGTTTATTTTACTGATCAACAACATAAGCAAGGCATTGGCCTGTTGCTATGACTTCCTTTGAGAGTTGCCCAACATTTCTGAGTCCAACTGTCTTTCTGGTTCTGTTGGTTGACCACAGCCAAGAAGGAAAACTATGCATCTGAATAGATTTTTCTGGGTGGGTCTCTCAGCTGTTTTTCCTTCTACTTCTAGGGGACACATGAAGGGAACCTCATCTTCAAGTCCCTCACTGGTCCAAGAAAAAAAACTCTAAGTTATCATTGGGTCGGACAGATCTTCTTGTAGAACTCTGTTGTTGGTCCTATTTATGCAGAACCAGAACAGATTGCAGCATGTAGCCTATAGATATTGTGACGCAGAAGTCCCTTAAACCAGTCACCCTGACTGGTTACAGTCTGTCCCTCCATATCTGGGTGGCTGCATTTAGGTTCCTTCAGGTTCTTTGCAGCTATAAAGCCACTAAGAACCAGGAGTGGAAGTCAACATTGTAATGACAACTAATGTTGGACTCCAGGTTCTGTTCATCCAGTCGGACTTAGAGACTGGTTATTTGGAGCTAACCTTTCATTTCAACACCAGAACCAGGAGGTTTCACTGCAGATACCGTTCCTTCCAGAAACAGTATCTTCTCCTCTGTCACCAACCAATCAGACCTTTTGATTGAACCCAATAAAAACATCCAACTTTTTTCTCATCAGGACATGAGGTCCATCCTAGATTCCAAGCAAAACATGGGCTTTTTATCTGACACTTGATCGGGTTCTGCTGCAGCTCCAGAGCACGCTGGACCGTTTCAGGACAGTAGGAGGACTGTACAAAGGGTTAGCGGGGTCAGATCTGCTCCCAGAAATAACCTCTGGAACAAAAGCATGGGCTTAACAACATAATGGAGGCCTTTCAACACATGGCTCAGCAGTGCAGCAGGCTGCGGCTTGCTTCAGAACCAGAATATGACAGGGAGAGGAGTCAGGGAGATATAGAGAGCCTCCGTGGTACAGCGGCCTGCAGCAGACACAATACAAACACCATGCAGACATTCCTCTGTGAGCCACACACTCAGCTTCTCCTCCTCAGACACTGAGTTAGAGATTACTGACACCACAGCTCTCTTCCTTTCTGTTCATCCACTGCAGGACCACTGAACCTACTGATGCTTCCCAACCTTGTTTCTGGGCCGTCAATGAGCACAGAAAAGGGCCGGACCTTCCCATGAGGCTCAGCATGTGTGCATGTATTATCAGTAAATCATTTTTATTTCCAGCTCTAGGCCGTGAAGCAGAGGTTGGCTCAGCGTGGCATCTTAATGGCCGCCTGTCTCAGTCCGCCAGCCATCGTGTGTCCCTCTGCTGTGTTGCCATCTTTACACAGACCATGTTTCTTTTCTCAAAGCATCAACAGTGAAATGTTCTCCTGACCACCAGCACCAGGTTCAAGCCGAGATCTGGAGCTTTGATTTGATCTACATTTGCCAACATTTATAGTAACTGTTGAAATCAAATGTCAAAGATGTAACAGGAGCGCCGCCCCTCTGAAGTCGCACCCCTGCGTGGGAGTTTATTTAAGTGGGTCCCATTTAACTTGTTGTTGCCAGTGGTAACAGCCGCATAAGGCTAAACACACCGCTTCTCAGATGAAAGCTACGCTAAATAGGAACCAAATCCCTCCGGAGAGGTCTCTGCTTGCTGGATCGAGGCAAACTACCTTTCCTATGATTCAGAAGAGGCTGATCGCAGTGACCTCCTTTTCCTGCGATTCAAACCGAGTTGAACGCAGTGCTTCGTGAACCCACCTGCTAAAGCCGAGGAGACAGCACTATTCAGCTCTGGTAGACCTACACCTAAACCCGGGCCTAGATTATACGATTCTTTTGGCCGTTTTCAGTCCGATTCTCCAATCGGGCGAGAATTTTTCGCTCGGTCCGACTTTTGGCCTGACTGTGCATCGTGTGTTTAGGGGGGGTAACAAGGGGCAAGCAGCCTCTCACCACCACCTCCCTATGAGGAATCGTATGGTTGGGAGAAAATCAAACATGTTTGAAGTCGGCCGCAAGTCAGCTGTCGTGAGATTGCATCAGAGCGTGGGAACATACATTGTGAGTTGTGAGCTTTTAAACCCTGCAGTTTCGTCATACAGTTTGAGCTGTAGCTGCGAGCAACAATTGAAATTGTTCCACAGTGTGTACCCGGCTTAACATCTGGCTGATGCTTAATAAGTGGTCTGCTTGGGTGAACTCGGTAGAATAGATTGTTTTGTATGTCCGTGTTTTATCTGAATTGAGTTTTCTGATTCAACTGCTAATGGTTTTAAGAGTTCTAACCTGAATGCTAATGCCCTCTGAGCCAGCTGAACAACAACGTGGTACCATCTTTGTCTGGAGAGACTGCTAACATCGTAAGCTCCCAGCTACCTCATGTCTGGCCATATTATAGAGGCCATGTTGGGACCTCTAACCTGTCCTTTGTTTCAGCTGTACTCGCAAGGACCAGATCCCCTGTGGCCAGCTACTGTAAGCTAAGCTGTTCTCTTTCAGCTTCATTACAGCTTAATTGATTCCTGGGTCATTGTTACTTCACTATTTAACTGTATTGAATATCCCTGCATCAGGTTTTATTCACATTCATCTTTTGCTATCCTGAAGGCCACCATAAATGCAAAGCCTTAAAACTTGAACTTTCCTCAGATACTCTTGAATACACTTGATAAAAATGATACCCCTTTTATTTTTTTTTGATTACTTTTGCTTATTTTCAGTAGTGTTTTAGTGTTTGTGTAGTTATTACATATAATAAAACTGTGATTCAGGTTATTAGTTAATAAAGGTACCATTGTATGTTAACCTTTGGTCTTTCGTGGTTATTTTATGCACTGAACGGTTTATCAATCAAGCTAAATTCACTCCTCTTTCGGTAAGATTTGAATGAACGGAGGCAGATTTATATGGTTGGTGATTAATAATTCTGCTGATAGCCATAGTCTAAATTACTACATCTGTGAATGTAACTGGATTTTAAACAGCTGGTTCAGAAAGAGCCCTGGTAAGTAAGAAAATTATAATTAGAATCATTCAGCTAATAATCATTAATAGGTTTTACTTTCGATTTGAATGACCTGTTAATTAACTCTAACTTCCAGTTCTAGCTGTTTAATATATTCACAATCTTCTGGTAAACTTACACAACATAACTGATAGTTCACTGAAAGAAATATGAAAAAGAAATCAGGGACTAAAATACTGAAACTTTGAGATTTTAAGACACGACAACAAGAAATTATATTTTTACTCCAAGTCAGCTCTGGTTGGCTGGAAGATGTGGCTTAATTTCAGGAAGTCAGTGTCAGTTTGCAGCTTAACATTAATGTGTCTCTATCAAAGGGATCAGAGAGACTCCAAACTGGGTTAGACCTAGCCTGTGTGCCATTCCGAACTTAGTCCCACCCACAAGGTTTGAGGTCGGGAAGTTCGGTCTGGCTCTGCTCCATAGTTGCGCGAGTATGATCGCCCACCCTCTGGTGATCCAATCAAATTGTCAGGGCGGGCTTTATACGATGATGGACAGATGATCAACAGTAACGTAATCAACCACGTGACCAAAGCGCGCTTGGGCGACAACAACAATGGCTGCCGCCGGAGAGTTGAGGTGTGTAGATTCTGCTATTCGGTCTGTTCTAGAAGATATCGACAGCAAATTAATTTTAAAAGAGGAAAAGAGAAACGCGATCAAGGCTCATCTTCTTATTCTAGGCGCGCAACTGCACGCTTTGATTTTTGTTGACAACAACTATGCCTCGCTTAACATACGTCACGCACTCCGTTGCTCTTATTGGTTGTAGGTCTATCCAATTGAGTGCAGAGGCATTTTTTTTCCTGGTTCGTTCACAACACGCCCCATAATCACAGCTCTATGGAGCAGTATCAGACTCATATTCTGACTAGAATTGAGTAGGACTACGTCAGGCTAGGTTAGACCCACCTCGGTTTTTAGAATCAGGGAGAATTTCTGATGGAGGAGTCCAGCTAACAGCTCCTCAGAGGATGACCCGTTAAAGGACGAACTTCTGCATATAAAACATTTCAAACCTTCCAACTATTTTCTACTAATTGTTCTATGAAGTTTCTACCTAGAAGTAGTGGAGCTCCATGATGATGAAGATGAGGCAGAAAGCAGCACACAGATAGACGCTTGGTCCTGTTCAGAAGGGGGTACATATGATAAAGCCCCAGAGTTTCAGCTTCAGAACCATTATTCTGTTCAGTTGGATCATCTGCAGCATTTTGACGCCAAGCAGCCACTTCTCAGAGCTCCTACAGCTGCTTTCGTTAGAGTGCTAAAGTGATGCGTACCTTCGGAGCAGCTGTCGTCACTGCTGACACTCAGCCTCTCTGCGTTGCCCTGAACGTATTTGTTGTAGAGTTTGATCCTGAGTGCCCAGCTCAGGTCCGGCTGCCTCACCGTGTTCTTCAGGCGTCTTCTGGCGTTGGCAAACCAGTTCGACACCTGAGGGGGACAAAGCAAGAAGTGGGAACACACAACAAACAGGAAGACATGTTAATATTTGAATCCACACTCCACAGCCAAAGCAAATGTGTCTTTCTCAGTGAAAACGTCTGCTAGCTGCCTGCCACGAGTCTCAGTGAGAAGAATGGCATGAGTAGCGAGACAAAAGACAGAGACAGAGTCAGGCTGCCGTTTAGCTGCAGCTCTGAAACTGAGCTTTGAGAAACATCCCAGATGTTCTGCAGAAACTCTGAGCAAAGCTGCGCATCTTTTTTCTATCAATGCTGTGTAGAAACAAATGGCAGACGGCCAGCGAACGCATCATCTCATCACCTAAAGCTCTGACTGAGACACACGTCCCCATCCAGCTTATTCTGGACGAGTCCAGCCATCCTCCAACAAGACAGTTTTTCCATCACTGTCCTTAAGATCCAATAAAAGAGACACTTGAGCCTCTCCTCTTCCTTTCACTGGGAGGAGAGACTATTAGATGTTATAGTGGAAGAACTTTTCCTGCTCAGTAGATTTCCAGGTGCTTATGAATGGCCAGGGACAGGGGCCTTAGTTTTCACATCCTCTTCTTTACTATTAGGTTTCTCATCAACTAGGACCGGCCCACATTCGTCGGTCTGCAGCCCATTGCTGTGGCGTAGCAGTCAGAAAGCAGCCTCCAGTTGGCCAGCGTGACTGGGAGGAGAGAAGGAGTGAGAGCAGGCGAGGAGAGGGATGGTGGAGGACAGACCGCTGTCAGAGGGAGGAGAGAGATGAGAGAGGACAGCCCGCCTGTTGAGACGACACCATAGAGAGCTTGAATAGAGAACTAATGCAGCTCTTCCAGCCATTGCCTGTCTATAGTACAGAGACAGCATGCAGACAGGGAGACGGATTTCAGGAACCATGGAGAGACGGCCTGGATTATCAGCTCCAACTCACAATATTTACATGGAGCAAAGCTGACTGTGCTGCTAAAACATGACAGATTTAGTTGCTGTTTATCACCTGCTGCCAGGTCGGCGTTTCCAGGGAAAAACACACAGGAAGTGATGCGTAGGACACCACGGGCGGCCTTAACGGCGGCCTCTCTGGACTAAACAGTGGAAGAACTGGGCTGTTCTCAGCAGCAATCAGTGGAAAGACAAAGACACCAGTGTCTCCAGTCAGTCATCATGATCACCTCTAAGTTTATGTTCACACTTTGGGAACAAATCATCACTTTAGTCGGAAAAATATATAAAAAGGCAAAAAAGATGAAGATTTATTTCAAATTAACTGTTTTCTTTTAAGCTAAACAGCCAAAAATATAAAAAATGTAAACTTTTTTTTTTTTTTTTTCCTTCACAAGCTGAGAAGAGAAACAGGTTCTTCCAACAAGGAGAAACCAGGAAATAAAACTCATGAAGATGTTTCTGGTTGAAGGAAACTGGATATTTTTCAGAGCAGCAGAGATTTAACAGCTGAGTTATAATCTTAGCAACACAAACTTTATCAGAAGATGGGCAGAAATGTAAGATAAAGAGCTGATTTGATCTCTGCAGGAAAAACAGCAGAAGAAACCACAAGTTGGTCTAAAAAATAATAATTATATAAATAAAATCTACATTAAAAAGGAAATATATTAACTAAATAAATACATTATCTAAATACTGGTGAAGGTTCTCAGTTATGCAGGTCATAGTCAATCCAGAAAAGTAAAAAAACTGGACTTTCTTTCAAGTTTGAAGTTTTGCTTCCCATCCAGGAAGCTTTTTATATTCAAAATGTCAGAAATAACATTGAGTTCGAGGCTTTATGGAGTAGCCCAAGAAAACCTTGTTTGGCTTAGAGAACATGCAAATTGAAAGGGACAAACGGGTCCACCCATTTGGAATGGGGGATATTTGACTACTTTGTTAGCCTATCTATGTGATCGTTCAGAGACATAGACAGGTATTCCCCATTCCAAAGGGACAAACCCATACGTCCGTTATGAATGCTAAGCAAAAACAGGTCAGTGGATAAACTGCTGTGCAGCAATCAGCTTAATATTATCCTCTGTTGGACGAGTCAAAGAGACACATTCAGTGATTTCCTGATGGACGGGAGGTCAGGAAACAGTAAATGATTCACTAAATACTGAAACTATTAATGAGGATTTTAATGCTTCATAAATGTAAGTTTTATTTGATCATGTTTTAGATGTCTTGATTTAATTTATCCAATATAAACATATTCTTAAATAACTAATTGATTTTATTACTGTTTTATTTTAACATTTATTAAAAAAAAATATTTATTTGTTGGATTTTTACACTTTTTTAACAAAACCTTGTCCTTCCACCTCTGACCCCACTGCTGTGATTTGGCCTGAGAGGCGTGTCAGTGTGTGTTTGGGTCACAGCGTCCTGGAGTCCAACACAAAGCCTTCCTCCTCACTCTGCCTCGCTCTCAACTAAAGAAACGGCTCCAAAAATGAGAGGCAGATCAAGCACCGCGGCCAGCAGCCTGAAAAAGCTGCAGACTCTGAGAGGCCGGATCAGAGACCTGGTGATGACATGTTACTGAACACATACACACACACAGCTGCAGGTGTCAAACACACACATGCATTCAGTGCTGACTGAAAGTTATAAAAAAACAATCAAGTGAAAGACTGAGACACACAGCAGAGAGCAGAGAAGCTGCAGGAGGATCTGGAAAACAGAGGAAATAACACTTCACCCCTGCAGAGCTGCTGCTAAATGTTCAGGAAAAGCAAAAACGAACTTCAAGCTGAAACATGGAAACTCCAGCAGCCTGATCACACTCATGTCTGTGTGTTTAAAAAGCAGGATCTGACTTTTCTTTTCCTCCCACTGAAAGCGGCTCACCTGCACCAGAGTCATCTGCGAGCCGAGCGCCAGGAGGATTTTCTCCGTCTTGGTCGGGTAGGGGTTGTCTCTGTGCTTGTAGAGCCACTGCTTGAGCGGCCGTGCCATGTCCTGCAGGGCCTGGCGCTTGTGCCGCACTTTGCTGCCACTGGGACGACCCCTGTTCACCACCAGGGACAGGATTTAAATGCAGGCAAATAACTGGAAACATCTTAGGATTTCAGTGCACAGACGTCATCAATTCATTCCAAATGTAAAATGGCTTCAGATTAATGAGTGAAACATCCAGAACCCACAGGAGGAAGAAATGAATCCTTCTTTGGAGCTAATTTTCTGAGCCGTGTCTACTTCACTGTCACCTGCAGCTCCAGCTTTTATGAACCTGTAGATGTCAGCATGGTGCTGCTCTCCGCTTCTCCCTTTATCTCCCAAAAAGGCTCCACTGGCTGCAGATGGATCAGATTTTAACTGGACCTCAAAGCGGGCCTGAGGTTCTGCTTCTCCAAATATTTTCCTTGTAATCTGGATCAGTATGAATCTCATGGAGCACATTTCACTCTGAGCCCGGAACGCTGGATTTCAAACCCTCTCTCTCTCTCAAAAACAACATCCAAACTTGCAGAGCTCTGTTAGAAGATGTTCTTCATTTATATCCCTGCTGCCCCTGAGACGAGGCATTCCCTTCAGCGTTAGATTTTAGATTTTTCCTGCAGCGCTCTCTCTGTGAGGACGCTCCTTACACTCACTGCTCTCCTCTCCGTCATATCAGCCTAATAAACAGCTAATTCAACCCAACTAAACAATCTTCTCTTCTACCTGCTTCCTGTTCCACACAAACAAGCTCAGATCTGTTCAGATTTGTTGTTTCTTTGAAGAACTAGAGCCCACAGAGAGCTGAAGGTGGATCAATGGAAACAGATGGGGACCATTACCTCTAATGACTGTTGATGCAAGTTCTACACAAACCACTGAGATTATTTGAAACCCTTTGCCGCCATCTAGTGGTCAGAGTTTTACCCCAATCTCTATAATTTCTCTCATTTCCTTCAATAATACTTGCTTTCAAATAATCTTCACTTTGGTTCTGGTTTAAAGCCAAGACATAAAGTTTCTATCAAACCGTAGATCTGCACATTATAGAATCATGATGATCATTCGGTATCAGTTTGTTCAAAATAATGCCTAAGGGCCGCTTGGATGTAATATTTAAGCAGGATGTTTTTGTCCAGTTTTGGCTATTCTCCATGTAAACAATATATTAGTAATAAATTGGAGCATTTAAATGGAGGCCATCTGTCCTTGATGCCCACAGCAGATCTAGATGTTTAGTGGCTGAGATGTGGAGCTCATGGAGAGAGGTAGGGACATAGATTCATGTGGAAGAAAAACCAGCCGCTGGAAAATGTGGATCAATCAGAAGAATCAATGTTTTTATTGACCTTTACAGCAACAGTATCATCCTCCAATCTTTTCTGAATACGCTGCAGCCCCATCAAATAATAAATATATTCAGGGAGTGAGATAGAAAGTTTTCAAGGAAACTTTTAGATCCACCTTTGACTGATTAACACTGAGCCAACATGTATTAATGTGCAGACTTTGTTCAGCCGACCGTCATGGAGTTAAAATGAAAACCTGATGGATTTGAATCTAAATCAGGATAAAAAATATAAACATTCAATAAATCCCACTTTTTACTTTTTACAGTCTCCATCAGAACATTTGAAGTAAAGAGTTTAATAGAAACTAATTATTGTTCCTGTCGAGTTCCACTCAACTGGGGCCTATTTTTGATTTATTTTACAGTTTATTTTACCTGACCTCAAAAATAATCAGGCGTTTTTATTAATTAAAAAGAAAATTATTAAAGATCCATTTTACTTATTTATCTATTTTATATTGAACTTTTATAAAGCAGATTCAAGCGCAATTTTTTATTAACTTTTTTTCGTTTCAGATAAATGTAAATTATTATTGTAAAAAATAAATGTAATCGTTTTTTGTTTGAGGAAACAAATGGATCTAAATATTGTTAACAGATGGATGAATGAAAATGAGCCTCCGCTGTAGCTCTAATTTCTCTCTGAAAGCTGCTTCTTCTCTCTAAGCTGAGCTGAGATCATTAAATCAGCAGCAGTTTGGGAAACAGTAAAGGTTTATTATCTCCTCTGTCAGATTGTTCAGCAATAAAACCTGAGAAAGGATTTAGAAATTACAGAGAGCATCAATAAGCAGGAATATAATCGGAGAAGCTTTGAAATTATTTTTGCCGAATTTGGCACAAATGCGTTTTTACGCAGAGATACATTAGAATTTCCATCTAAATTATTGATTTATTCATAATTTATTTAAAGTAAATATTTAATGAAAAAATATAATTTAGTTTCAAACTCTTCTAGCCTTTCCATTTCGCTCTGATTTAGATGTTTTTGCGCTCAAACCGCAGAGATCATCCCAGAGATCGCCCAGCTAACAAGTGACCAACAGGTTGAAAAGGCTCCCAGATATTTCCCCCCTTGGGTTTCTCCACGCACTCCAGCTGCTCCGCATCCACACATGCTGAGCAGCAGCCTCTACCAGAACAGAGAGCCTCACATACCCGCTCCGCCTGTGTCTGACCGCCTGGCTGTCTCTGATGGCCGGGCTGCTGCAGAGGAGATCTGGATGTTGGCCATCGATGACTTCCAGGTAATTTCTGCTGCTCATTTCCACCTCCTTCGCCTTCTCCTCAAACAGGACCTGGCTGCTCAGCTTGTTAAACACAATGGTGTTCATCTTTGGCCGCTCGCTCCGCAGATCTCTCCCTCTGCTGCGCACAGATCCAAAAGGTGTGAGGAGGGAAAACTCTGTCCCAGCGTCCCCGAGTTTCTCCTGTGGCAGAAAAGATCACATTTAGTTGGTGAGAATCATGAGAACAAAATCCTCCATCTAAGCTCCTTCACATTCAGTAGCTTCAGAGTTCAAGGCGAGTGGAACAGCTGCGCTCTGACGCTCCAGAAGCAGAACCACTGGTTGATCCATTCAGTGTTTGCGCAAACTCCTCCTGCTTCTACAGCAAAGAGGCGCTTCATTCTGCACACATCTCAATGCACATTAATTAGCGCAAACAGCTAATAAAGAAATGTGGGATGAGTCGGAGCGGACAGCGGAACCGACAGGTTCCAGGTCCACTTTACTGCTGCGCTGCGATAAAAACCCACGGAGAGACACGGAGACCGTGGAGGTGAAAGTCCCATTTATTCTACTGGAAGAAATTCCCCTGAATTCAGTAAAAGCGGCTCTAAACAACAGGGAATATAAAGCAGCAGGAGGTTCGGACTGGAAACAGACCCAAATGGATCCAGTAGAAGCAGAGATGAAGCATCTTAAATGCTGTTTCTCTTCTTCCTCTCCTGTCAGTGGATCTGTGGCACTTACCTTTCCCGGCTCCCTCCTGCGTCTCTCGGCTGTGCTGAACAATAATCCTGCTCCCAGCCGCCCATGCCCCGCTCACAGGTTCCCCGCCTGAGTTTCTGAGCTCTAACCTAAACGGACCGCCGTCTCCTCCTCCGCTTTTCTCTGCTTTCGGCCCGGGACTCTGAATATCTGCGCCTGCTCATGTTTCCTTGCACACAGCCTGAGCCTGCGAACATCCTGCTGCTGCTTTAGGCCGGTTCAGGGGCAGCGGCCCCCAGAGGGAAGGAGAGGGAGGAAGGCATGAGTCTGAAAGAAGCAGGCTGTCTGTCTGAGCCACTGAGCTCAGATCTTACTGAGCATCAATGACCCAAAGGACAAATAATGACCTTTTAGAAGCTGCTGGGCTGCTACTGGTGGAGTTTAGTTTGTCCATCTTCCTTTGGAGCATCTCCAGCTGCCTGAGGCTGAAGTTAACAAGTCTCATCTCAGCTGCTGCAGAGAAATCTAGAAAATACAAGAACTAGTTGGACTATAAATAGTCATGCCCCAGCTGATCAGTCCTGATGCAGGTTCTCATTAAGTTCCATCAGAAAGATGTCCCATTATGGGTCCAGAATGCAGAGATTCTGAGCTTCTCAGCTCTGGTTCCTTTGGGGATTATCCAGGGTTGTTATTCCAATGATGTGACTCAGCAGCAGGAGACATCTGAAGGGTTCAGTCTCGGTGCGATTATTCTTTCTTTGGGCTTATTTTCATTTAACAGGCGAGTTTACTTTTTCCTAAGAGTTTGTGCAAACATGCTATGAAGGGTCCAGTCATTTAATCAGGTTCATTAAGGTCAGCAAGGGTTGATTTGTTCAGGTTTTTCACTTTATTGAAGGTTGGACTTCTGGCCTGAGGTGACCTTCTGGTAGCCCCTCTGACTTATCGCTGTTATTCAAACCTGTGGCTCATCGATGACCTGCTGCAGCAGCTCTTTCATCTTAATCCAGGCCTCAGTCACTCCTCCCTACACCTCTGCCTACTGGCCTCTGTGGGGGAAGAAAACCATTCAGGAGGTAGACCAGCATAAATCATCATGTCCCAACTCCAAAGGGAGCAGTGACAGAGACTCTGCAGCCGATCCCCCACAGCTCTGCTTCTTCTCAGACTGGATTCAGGAACCACTCTGGCATCTGCTTTCTTTGGTATCCATCAGCTGCTGCTCAGGTTGGACAAGTAATGAGTTAAGAAGCCTGGTACCACAGTTATTCTTTCAGAGACAAGATATCTGCTGAGATATCACGTTCCAACGTGATCTCTTTTCCAAATCCTGTTCTAAAGGATAACAAAATACAATGTGACACTCAAATTAAAGAGAAACGAATTCAATAAAAATGAAGCTAAATACAAGTTGAACAGTTTGATCTCTATCTTGATCTAGTTTTCTGCAGAGAATTATCAGCTCTTCTCTGGACTACAATGAAAAAAAAAGAATAGGAAACACTGATCTCTCTTCCTGCATGTTTGACCCCTTTATATGAAACGTAGGAAACAACTAAAGGAGCTAAACTGAATTAATGATTGAACAGTTTTTTTGTTTTGTTTTTTACCGCAATTGTTCATTTAGATGTGAGATGTCTCTGACTTGGACTTCATTCCATGTAAACTAGGCTGGAATCTCATGCGGTCTCTTGCAGACTGCTTTTAAAGCTACAGACTGTTGTGTTGGAAAGTTTGTCCCAAACCCAAACCACCCTCTAAGCATTACCCCTTAACTATAGAGTGTGACTCCCAATGAAGTCACAATCACTACTGTGACTTGCGCTTTGATTGGTATAAATGAGGTGTATAAATGAAAATGGGATGCCCCCTTCCTCCAATGGAAAAGGAAAGCAGTCATTACTATGGCAACATGGTGACGCGTCATATGCATGGCTGTCACTAGCACAGCTGGCTGCTTCCTCTGGAACCAAACCCTCTAATCTTCTCGCCATCTGTAGGAACAAATCAATGTTTCTCTTTAGCCATCTGTGTCAGAAATTCTGACTCATGTTAGAATAACAAAGACCGGGTCTTTTATTTCTGCCAGTGTGAAAACAGAAGGGTTTCAGATATTTGTGTCATCTACTCTGAAGTTCTGTTGCTAACCTCTTTGGTCATTGGGTCTTCGGCTGTTTTCCTGGCAAAGCTCTGCAGTATTTGAAGTGTTTGAGTAGACTGTCAGACAGCAGAGTCAGACTGCATTACTGCTTATTTCTCCTTTGAACAGAAGACAAGGAAATGGCAAAAAAAAAACCTAGTGTCAAGATTTAGAACAGAGGGACCCAGTATTCAGGAAAGAATGACAGTGGGATTACTCAAAAAGTGTTTATTAAAATAAACTGGCCTGAGATAACAGCTGCTAGGACGGCTGAGGCAGGAAACAAGGAGGAAAGAGAGGTGTAGGTTCTTACTGTCCTTATTGAAGCTTTAGTTTGACGCTCATCAGACTCTCTTGTATCCAAAAAATAAATCCACGAGTCCACTTCTTGACTTCAACGGTTTACTTGAAAACTTAACGCAACATTACAGAAAACATAAAATACATCCATGAAATTAAGTTCTTTTAAAGTCCAACGGAGCCTGGGAAGGGTGAGGTCAAAAAACTATTGCGCTCCAATCTCCATCTGATTCCCACTGCATTCCTCACCTGGCATGAAGATAAACCACTCCCCTTCGTGGGTTTTTAAATGTCACAATAAAAGTAATATCTTTCTCACAATATCAATTAACTGAACATATAAAATAGCATTTTTTAATCCTTTTAAATCCCTTAGAATCATTAAATCAAAAACAATATTTATCTTACTTATGAATTTGCGTATTTTTAAATAAAATAGAAAATAAATATTCTAACTCAAATAAACTGCATTTAGGCTCCTACATTTCCGGCCCCTAATTGTTATCAATGCCCTGAAACAATTACTCAAAACTTAAATCCCAAGGAGCCTAACACTACAATTATGTAAATTACTTTACTTTTAATTCTTAAGCTAAACAACAACTAAACCAGAGTGCATAACTTTATCACATATTCAGCAATGAAAAGGATATATGAAAGTCCATCAATCAGTTTCTGACTCTTGCAGCAGGACCAGCTTGGTTACTGGTCGCAACAGCTCGTTGGTCCGGGTCTTGACCTTCACCTGTCGAACGAAACCTTTCCTGTCTGGAAGAGCCTCTGTGATCCTTCCAAGTGGCCAGGAGTTTCTGGGCGATGTGTCGTCGATAACCAGCACCACGTCGCCGACACTGAAGTTTCTCTTTTGGGCTAACCATCGCTGGCGCTCTTGTAGTTGCATGAGGTACTCCCTGCACCATCGCTTCCAGAATATGTCCGTGAGGTACTGGACCTGTCTCCATCTTCGGTTTGTGTACTGATCATCCTTGCTGAACACTCCAGGAGGCAGCTTGGGCTTGACTTTCAGTAGCAGAAGGTGATTAGGGGTTAAAGCCTCTAAATCATTGATGTCAGAAGACGCCTTGGTTATGGGCCTACTGTTTATGATGGCCTCCGCTTCGCACAACAGGGTGTGGAGGCTTTCCTCATCCATCATCTGCTCTTTCACTGTGGTATTCAGAATCTTTCTCACAGAGCGGATGAGCCGCTCCCAGGTTCCTCCGTGGTGGGAACCTGTCGGAGGGTTGAAGTGCCACTGCACACCTTTCTGTTGTAGGTGTTTTTCAATCTTGCTTGTGTTCCACTCACGAATCATTTTCCTCATCTCGCTTTCAGCTGCTCTGAAGTTTGTGCCGTTGTCTGAATACATCTCTCTTACTTGTCCTCTTCTTGCTAGGAATCTCCTAATTGCATTCAGACATGCATCAGTGTCAAGCGAGGATGCAACTTCCAAGTGCACCGCACGAACTGCGAGACAAGTAAAGATGACACCGTATCTTTTTACATGTCCTCTTCCTCTTTTCACCAGGAATGGGCCAAAGTAGTCGACACCAACCCGTGTGAATGGAGGCTCATCAGGCAGGACTCTGCATGTGGGTAAATCTGCCATGAGTTGGCTTCCAGCTGTTCCATGCAGCTTCTTGCAGGTTACACACTTGGACAACAGCCTCCTGATGGCTCCATTTGCCCCAGGGATCCAGAATCTTTGCTGCAACTGAGACAGCATGTGATTCCTTCCTGCATGTGCTGTTACATCATGAATGTGTCTAATAAGGAGCCCTGTGACATGCGAGTCCTTCGGCAAGATAACCTGCTGCTTGCAGTCGTCTGGCAGTGCAGCACGGCTTAGCCTACCTCCTACTCTTATGAGTCCGTCTTGTAGAACTGGGTTCAGCTTACGAAGCGAACTAATTTTCTTCACTCTTTGTTGTTCTTTTAGCATTTCCAGATCTTCTGGGAATCCTTTCTTTTGTGCGTATTTCACTATTTCTGTCTCTGCTTTCATCAAGTCTTCACAGGTAAGTTTTGGTGCTTTGTAATCTTTCTTGAATCTATCCATTCTTTCCTTGCTTGAAAAACTTGGTTCCCTGCTTTTATTTGCATTCAGTTCTTTCAGCAGATCTTTCAATTTCATGTACCCGGCTACAGCGCGCTTCAGCTTCGCCCAGGATGAATAGTACAACATCAGCTGGTCCAGGGGGTCTTTGAGGTTTTGTACTTGCATGGCATGAGATTGAACCCTTTTGACCTCTGGGTCATCCACGTTGATCATTCCAGGATCCGGATTCTTTGGCCACTGGTCTTCCTCACAGCACAGGAATTCAGGTCCAGAAAGCCAGCTTTCACATTTCAAGAATGCTTCCACCGTCAGGCCTCGGGACACATGATCCGCCGGATTCAAGCTGGTATTGACATATCTCCACTGCGAAGCTTGAGAGTGCTGTAGGATTGCTGACACCCTATTGGCCACGAAAGTTTTGAATCTGGAGCTTTCACTGTTCAAGTCCTTGAGCACAACTGTGCTATCTGTCCAGTATATTGAGTCGTGGAGTTTCAATTCAAGCTCTTTCTTCAGCAGCCTGTCCATCTTGACTGCAACTGAGGCTGCAGTTAACTCCATCCTAGGTATGGTCGGGGATTTCAAGGGTGCTACCCGTGCCTTCGCCATCATCAGAGATGATTGAGTCTCTCCAGCTGAGGAGCGTAGAACAAGGTAGCTTGTTGTTCCGTAAGCGTCTTCACTTGCGTCAGCAAAGTGGTGTAGCTGCGCGAAGACTGGTGCACCAAATGCCTCTGACTTTACGCACCTGTCAACGCTAAACACCTCTAGCTGCTGCAAGTCCGACATCCATTTCATCCATTCCTTGATCACTTCAGCTGGTAGGCTGTCATCCCAGCTGAACCGTT